TGATATTGACCTCTGGCCTACACACACACACACACACACACACACACACACACACACACACACACACACACTAGCATGTATGCACAGGTGTATGTGCATGCATACAGCACACACACAAATAAAAAATTTTGAGAAAGAATTTATGAGCAGAGGCAAATAAAGATGTGTTTATTGCATAGTGACTATTCAATAAATATTGTGGAAGCAATGAGAGATGAAGGAAGGAAGAGTGGGAGGTAGTAAATAATACTTGTAACATAATGCAGGTATCATCAGTGGTACCAAATGCTTGAGGGATCAGCAGTGGGAAAGCCAGGAGCCACTTAGGAACTTAGAACCTGAGTGGTGCTTTAAAAGTTTCCTCAGTTAGCCGGGCGGTGGTGGCGCACGCCTTTAATCCCAGCACTCGGGAGGCAGAGCCAGGTGGATCTCTGTGAGTTCGAGGCCAGCCTGGTCTCCAAAGCGAGTTCCAGGAAAGGCGCAAAGCTACACAGAGAAACCCTGTCTCGAAAAACCAAAAAAAAAAAAAAGTTTCCTCAGTTAAAGGTGGAAGAGAAAGAGAGCACAGCCTAGAGGGATAACATGAAATTAAAATGTCGGAAAGTGGTAGGACAAGAAACTGGGAGGTATTTGGGAATAGATCATAGAATGGGTGATGAAAATTAGGCACAAAGGTAGCAATGCAAGAGAATGTTACAGAATTTACTAGGCTGTATTTTTGTATTGATGAAGTGGTTAATGGAGACTTGCATATGGTTATTAGGTTATTTCACATTCTATTCAAAGATGTAGGATATTTAACATTTTGTTCATTCATTGCTAGGTATGTGTCAGATTATCAGTATATGAAAAAGTTATTCTTGTAAAATTCATACTCCAAAGGCGATATTTTAGAAAAATAACAGTAAAACTAGAATAGTCACTTTAGTGGATGAACAAAGTGAACACAAGAGAAGGGAATGATGATCTGCCATATCTGATCACTAGATATAAATTTAGTAGACACAATGACAAGAGCAATTCCATTTTTATATTCATTCACTTAAATATTATCTTGTTCATTCTAGGTATGCAATGTTACTGAAATAAAGTAGATATACTTACAAGAGTGATTGGAATAAATATCAGACATTTAATTCTGAAAGGTGAATTCTACAAAGCTGAATTTAGTGTTATGAGCAAAATTTAAGGCAGGTCCTATCTGAATGACATGGAAACATGTTAAACATAAATGGATATATGGCCACTTTGGTCTCTACCACATGGAACAGTTAGAAAGCTAAAGCTTGCATAGTATAGTCAGATAGCAGGGCAATACCATTTAAAATATTAAAAGGGAGAGAGTTGAGGACAAACTGGAAGACAAGCACTTGATGTATGTTCCAGCTAGCTTTATGGGACAGCTGAGAAGACAAACACCTGAAAAGTTAAAGGGCAGACATGGTGCTTTCATATCTTCTTTTTTTGTGGGTGATATTTTTATTTATTTACCTTAATGACTTCAAAAGCTCTTCAGTGTGTGCCAAAGACATGGCATCCTGCCCATTACTTTGGTATTCTAGAGCAAACTCCTACTTTTAGAGTTCTTGCCATTTATCATAGAAAACTATAAACATGCAAATCCTAATAAATAGTTGCCATAATCCCTAGAGGACACAGTTGAGAGATCACAGGAATATATGACTGAAAGCTCTCATTTCAAATGGTCCACATTGGGTTTCTGATTCATGCAGTATTGTGACATTAGGCTTTTTTGTCAGTAAATTTTTCTTGTTTTTTAATAAACCCGCTTTCTGTTTCCATTCCATAGCTTATCAAGACTATTTTCTGTTACTATTTTCCTCGTATTTTCAAAAGCATCTAATGAAGGCTGAGATAAGGAAGCTGTGAAGTCTGAGATGCAGGCTCTGGAGGGATGGAAATGCTGTGATGAAGGGATTGTTGCAGTTAGGCAGGTGACTGGTTCTGGAAATTAGTCCTTAGAAGGGGGACAGACTGATTTGAAAGAGCAGCTCCACCATCAATTTCTCTTCTTTTCCTTGTGGCTGGCATCTCTCTAGCCCATTTTGATTCAGTTTTGCCTGTGGATTTTCCTCTTTTCCTTCACTTAAGTATTTTCTGGATGATGTTCAGTGAGATATAACTCAGTGAAAACTATGGAAAATAATGGTGTTTTGCCAGTCTGATATCTAACTTCAAAATGCTTTTCTCTCATTTGTTAGGGTATAACATTGGGCTAGACACTTAGACACTCTTAGCTTTAATTTCTCTTCTATGAAGTGAACATTGATGCTTCATGTACTGTCTGTCTCAGGTATTATAGAGGATTAGACAAGAAACTATCAATGAAGGGGCTATGATGGTGATTGTGGTTATTATTTAGATGCACTGTAGTCTACTTCATACCTTGAAAGTGATAATATTCCTATTCAGAGTCTTACTTAAAAAACATAGCTCATTTGAATTTTTATAATGAAGTACAAATTGTAAGTATATGCATTACTTATTTTTTTATTGCTGAGATAAAACACAATGACCAAGGCAGCTACAGAAGAAAGGTTTATTTGAGCTTATAGTTCCAGAGAGTTAGAGTTCATGATGGTGGAGTGAAGAAAAGGTAGCAGAAAGGAAGCTGAGTGCTCACATCTTGAACAACAAGCACAAAGCAGAACTAATTCAAAACCTGCCTCCAGTAATGTACTTTCTCCAACAAGGCCATACTTCCTAAATCTCCCAAATAGTGCCATCAGTTGGGGACCAAGTATTCAAATGCCCAAGACTATGGGGGACATTTATTATTCAAATCATCACAGTATAGTGTAAGTTTTGCACTTGTATATATAGTGCGTATGTGCAAGTGCATGTGTGTGCACATGTGTGTGCATGTGGAGATGAGGCCAATGCCAGGTGTCTTCCCTGTTCTCTCTCTGTTTATTGAGGCAGGCTCTCTCATTGAACCCACAGCTCACAGATTTGGCCTAATCTAGCCAGCTTGCCCTGTGTATCCCATCTCTGCTTCCTGAGTTCTGGGATTACAGGCAGCTGCCACTCCTGCCAGCCATTTTGTGGGTTCAGGGATCCAGACTCTGATCCTCACATTTGTGGAACAAGTACTTTATTCACTGAGACATTTCCCTAGTTCCATAAATGAAAGTGTTGAAGAAGCTCCAGATAGTTGAGTATTTAATAACCTGCCACAATGCAAGTATTTTTAAAGAGATATACAATAGTTCCTAGAAATATCTGAAATGCCCATCCTTTTATAGATTTTAAGTATGCAATTTGTTCTAAATGTCTAATCTTGAATGATTAAATAATTTGCATACTGTTTTCAATGGCATGAATTAAAGGCTAATTGAAGTATAATTCTTTGCAGTAAAATTATATCATCTTTTATGTAGTACATTTAAAAATAGTCTATGCCAGTTCTAATTTTATAGTTTTATTATTTTAATTTAATGTACCAAGTAATTAAAAATTGCTATGTAGAAAAGATGAAAATGATTTTACTTCATTTCTCCTCAACAACTTGAAAGGATAAGTGGAGTAATGGAACAGAGCCCAACACAGTTCCTGGCACATAAAGATTATTCATTAACTGTTCTTTAATGAACAAAAATGAGTAAGTTTTAAGTATTTCTAGACTTTGAGAAAAGGCAGTATTCTCAATACTGTATACAATTTTACAAAGAAGGTGAGCTGACATCTTTATATTAAAATGCTTCCATACTGAGGTCACACAAGCCATGTGTTACTGGATCATTAATAACTTGGCGTGGTTTGGTCCGTTCTTCTTTTGCTCTGAGAGAAGATTCTCAGGCCTAAATCACTTACACATGTTGAGAGACAACACTGCATGAGTAGTTTTCATTTCTGTATATCTTGATATACTACTCTTTGCTCAGAGCTTGCTCTTCAAGACTGTTTATATACATAGATAGCTTTGGAAAGACAAGGATGGCCTTGCTTTCTAGTGCATGTTGCCTTATAGCCTTGGAAGACAGAGGCAGTGCTTCCCTGCCACAAAGGGCAGACATGTTTATTGTTCAGTCGAGTAGGACTACTAACTGCCCACAGAAGGTTTAGGGTTCCTAAAGTAAGGGTTCCTCTCTTGTTGTGCCACTTGTGTCTGCACGTGTTATCTCATCCTCATTCTATCTCCCAAGGGGAACTTGGGAGCTGAGACTGAGGAAACTGGCTCAAAAAGGGATGGCCTCTTTTGCTGCTGTTCACTTCTGTTGAACAACAAACTATCCCTTTGTCTGTACCAGGAAGAAAATGAGCAACATAGGGTTGTTTATGAAAGATGTGATGAAATCAAGAGCCCGTGACTCAGAATACTGGCTGAAACTATGAAGTTTCTACCAATCCTCGTTTGATGGAGGTAGTTGGGTGGAGATAGGCAGAAGTAATGGAGGAAGGAAGAATAAGTTTCTAGATGAAAAAGGGTTCCATGACGTTTCCAAGCAGTGTAAAGTCATTCATGCTTATTGAGGCTGTAAATCACAGTGTTGGCACATATAAACTAAAGCTATTAGTTCGTTTACTTATATATTGGCTTTTTGAGCCAAGCATATGCCTTTTTATGAGCACTTTACTTTGGGGCCTTAATGCCTTGTTTAGTTGAATTCATTGAGTTTCATCTAATAACTTAAAGCAAGCCTATTTATTGTAGGAAAGGTACATGACAGAGTGGCATTTTTGTTTACTGTGCTAACTCCATTGTATCCATTCCTGTCTTCTAGTCTTTGTGGTTTATAAAAATACTTCCCTAGCAACACTTAGGAAACTCAAATGTCATTATCAGGCTAATTCGAGATCTCTAGACCTAAGAAGTCTTGGTTCACTTTTACTTGAGTGTGAATGTATAATGCTGCCTCCTAGAAGTGACCTCTTTCCCATTACCCCACTGCATGGAAGCATGGAGGGTTGTTGCTGAGATATACTATAACTTCTTGCTAGCCACATTGTTAAAAAACTGTATGTTATTTATCCCTCAGGCACTTCTATCAGGCGCCATCGGATTCCTCTCCCACCTCCGGATGATGATCAGTTTTATACTGTGTTTCACTTTAATATCAACACAGCTGTTGTCTTCTATGGGCGCAAGTTCAAGATTTATGATTGTGATACATTCACAAAAAATTTTCTAAAGAAAATAGGAGTCAAACTGAATCCTCCAGAACCACGTCCAGTAGATCCCTACATGAAGATGCGGAGAGAGGTGAGAATTGATACATCTGTGACTTCTTATTCAGAGACTTGGTGAACGATGCTGGCTGGCACTCTTGCTGAAGATACAGAAGACTTTTGAAACCATATTTATGAGGGCTGTCCTGTTCTTTGGATACAAGGGAAGACTAAATGGTAGCCACAGAACAGGAATGACCTCCCATACCCCTCCTTGCAGGCTCCCTTCACCTTCACCCCCAGTTCTTTTTGGGAGTCTCCTTGTTTTAGCTGTAGGAGTATTTAGTGAGCTGCTTAGGTGAGATAATGTTGGGGAGCCCATAATTAGTTTTGTGGTCACCAATAGTATGTGAGTTAAACCCATATTTCTTCTGCTTATGTTTTCTGGTTTTAGTTGCCTATCTCTGGCTGGGGAAAAAAATCTTTCTTCTGTGCTACTGATCAAATAAACCAAACCTTGAATATTTTCTTCCTTCTTGGAACTCTGTGAGATTGGATGCTGAAATATTCTCAAAGAGTGAAGTAGCCATGATTTTTATATCTCCTAGTTATAAAACATGATTGCATTTAAAATCTGATCCTGTTGTAAGGAGCAAAGAGTCAGTGTTACTGTTCTGCAGTTTTTTGAACTGATCCCTTGACCCTAGTTTTCTATTTACCAGAAGGCTCTGAATACCCAGAAGGCTCTGCATACCCAGAGGACTTTAAATACCCAAAAGAAGAAGTATCATTGGTTAGGTCGCCTACCTAACCAGGCTCTGTGTTGGGACTAAAATGGAAATCTCTGGATTCTTACCTTGATTTTTGTTATTGTCATTTGTTTCCCTTGTTATTTTTTATTTTTAGTATTTATTCATTTATAGATTCTTGAGACAGGTAGTCACTATAATAGCACAGACTAGTATTGAATTCACTGTGTAACTCAGGCTGACCTTGAACTTACTGTACTCCTGATTCTTAAATGCTGAAATTGCAGATGTGTACTACCATTCCTCACTATTTTTTGTTATTGTTAACATATAACTGCACATGGCCAAATATACAGGCATTAAATATACTTTGGAGTGAGTCTTAACTTGCATTCGAACTATGATATTGAGCAGTTCCTTACTCCCTCCTCCCAGAAAATCCCCTCATGAATTTTTCTAATCAGTCCTTCTCTCCACTCAAGGATAACCACTCTTCTCATTGCTATCTCCATTAATTAGTTTCCTCTAATTTTTACTGTTTTCAAACCTTATAATTCCTTTCCTTTCAGAATAACAATTTTAAATGATTCTGTTTTTTTATCTCTCATTAAAAACTATGTGTAGGATCATCCCCTGTACTTGCCTCTTAGCCTCAGCAGAATTATTCTTTGATGTTGTAGGCATACAATCCTCCTGTGAAGTATATATATTATTAATCCTGGAATATCTAAGGTAAAATGACTTTGTACCATTGTAAAAGGAGATTTTTAGGTTTGGACTCATTTTTACATCTTTTATATGTCCTGGATGATAAATACAAAGTCTTTAGAAGCCCCAGAGGAATCTGAAGGAAAAAGATCCCTAGAGTTACTGCTTCCTGCATATGGCTATATGCATTCACTAAGAGTTATTATTATACGATAGTGATTATGAATGATTCTATAGTATATGAATTTCATAGACTACTGTTAGATTTTATAGATTTCCAAAGAAGAAAAAGTTTGTGCCAGGAATTGGAAATAAAACAAGGACAAGCAAATATTTTAAATAATTTTCTTCTAGACTGTGAGAACCATTTTAGCATTCCATTAGGGCAAAGAAAATTCATTAATAAATATAGGACTCTAGGGAAATTAAAAGTTTAATAAGAGGATTTTACATAGAATTTTATGGATTTGGATTTAGTTCTTAAGTGTTTGCTACCTTGATATGTAAACTTAAACTACTTTGCTTAAACTGAACAGGATCTTAATGGTATATAATCAATAAAGCATTTCTTAGCAGTCTTATACATTAAAAGCATTTTAATTAATGGAAACAGAGGTCTCATAATTTCAATTAAATATTAAAGATAAAGCTTGAAGAGCCTCTATAAAGCTGTTGTGTTTTCCTCTTGAGATAAACATGTACCTAGACCGCTCTAGATAGACACAGTATTTCAGGACTTTATAGAACAATTATATAACTTAATTCAAATGTTTTATATATAATAACATTTCCCAAGTGAATCCTTCCTTACATAACAATATCATTTGCTTATATTGGATAGAATGGAGGCAGCTATACTCTAAGACAGGTCTAAGAGGTGTCAAATTGAAGGAAAGATGCACCAAGAAGACCATGGCATTCACTGTTTCTAGAGGAGCGTCCAGCCAAAGAGGGTTTCTTTGTGGACTCTAGGAAGGTCTCCATTTGCTCTGCTCCTCTATCCACTGGGCTTCCATTTCCTGGATGTCTGAAGTTGTTTGAACAAAATTAAACTGTAGATACATTTCTTCCTCTTATCTTTGCAAAAAATATAAACAAGTGAGAAAAACACACACACATACACAAACACGTGAGAAATTTCTGTTGAAAATATATATTTTAAAAATTAAAATATAATCATTTTAGGATTCAACATACAGATCTTAAATCAATGCAGGTCAGTTATTTGGAAAATGTGTACAACAAAGTAGCCAATATGAAAATTTTAAGACATAAACTATTTGGGGTTAGGGCTATAGCTTACTAGTAGAACATTTCCCCAGCATTTGTAAGACTCTGAGTTCAATCATCAGCATGGCCAAAAAGAAAAGATATAGGCTATTTCCTATAGCCTCAGAATAATCCCTTTCCTTCCTTTCTGGTCAAATCTCCTGATGTCGCCCTTTCTTGTTATATTCCCTACATAGAAACAATTACTGTTCTGGTTTCTATCACTATAGATTGGATTTGTCCATTTGTTATAAAGTTCTAAGGCTTTAAAAAAATCAACTTCAAACATATCCCAGAAATATAGTTTAGTATGTTAAAATAATGTTTAACAAAATATGAAAAGCTTTCTAATGTTTGCCTATATTCTTAAGGTTAAAACTGACTATGAGTTCATATATCTGTATGCCTGGATCCATATATCTGTATGTCATAATATTTGCTTGAAATCTTTTAAAAAGTATGACAGAACAGTCTACAGAAAAAAAAAATCTTTATATTGCTTGCTTGCTTGCCTCCCAGAAATGACTACATAAAGCCTGCAATGTTTCTGACACTTTCTCCATTTGCAGATATTAGAGTTTGTGGATCCCTTTCGTCCCTATCAGTACTTTGACACTCTGAAACAGTTCCTCCAGTATGATGGGAAGGTTTTGCGTTTCTTCTGCCTGTGGGATGACTCAGCCTCACTGTTTGGGGACCGTAGAGAACTTGTCCTGCATTACTTCCTGTCTGATGGTACTGTTGAAGTCAGAGAAGTACTGCCACTTAATTCAGGCCGGGATGCCATGTCATCATTCCTTCGGAGGAGTAAGCTTCCCAAGGTAAGTATTTGACTATGTTTGTGGGCCAAGAGACTTAAGTCATTGTTTGGAATGTTGTGTGATGGCTCTGTGAAAGACAGTTACTTCATGCTACTTGGCTAAGTTAGGGTTTCTGTTGCTGTGCTAAAATACCATGACCAAAGCAACTAATGGGGGAAAGGACTTTTTTCCAGTTTAACAGTTCCACATCACAGCCCATCACTGAGAGAAGTCAGGGCAGGAACTCATGGAGGGCAGGTACCTGGAGGCAGGAGCTGATGCAGAAGTCATACAGGAGTGCTGCTTACTCAATTTGCTCCACATAGCTTGCTCAACTTACTTTCTTATATCACCCAGGATCACTTACTCAGGGGTGGTACTGCCCACAGTGAGCTGGGCCCTCCCACATCAATCATCAATCAAGGAAATGCCCTACAGACTTGCCCACAGGCCCATTTCATGGAGGCAGTTTCTCACTTGAGATTTCCTCTTCTCAGATGACTCTAGCTTGTGGCAAATTGACAAAATCAAACAAACGAATAAATAAATAAACCCTACCTCCAAGAAAAAAAAAAAAAACCAAACTAGCCAGCACACTTAGGGCAAGGAAAGGAATATATGTAAGGGAAGTAAACTGTTTTTGGTTGAATTCACAACAATCATTATTATGAAATATAGGACTCTCTTGAAATTAATTTACTGGCTTTGAGTGGGACACTACCATCCTGCATCCTACCAACCTCATGGTATTGATCAAGGTGTGAATATACACGTGTACACAAACATACATATGCAAAGAAGTGAATAACAGTTCTAAGTACAGCGACTAGTCACCAACTAGCCAGGAACCACCTCAGTAATGCCATTGGCATTTTCTTTACTATGACAAAGATTTGTCAAGTTTGTTTCCTCAAACACTTGTCAGCATTTCAGAGGGAAGTGAGCTGGCACAGCAGGAATGACATAGAGACAGACCTGGATTAGAATTGTGGATTTTTTTTTTTTTTTTTTTTTTTTTTTTGGTTTTTCGAGACAGGGTTTCTCTGTGTAGCTTTGCGCCTTTTCCTGGAACTCACTTGGTAGCCCAGGCTAGCCTCGAACTCACAGAGATCCGCCTGGCTCTGCCTCCCGAGTGCTGGGATTAAAGGCGTGCGCCACCACCGCCCGGCCTGGATTTGTTTTTTGATAGTCATGCATGGGCAAGCCAGTGAACCTCTTTGAAAACGTATTTCCACACCTTTAAAATGCAGTTAACAGAGCTTCCTTAACTAGAAGGCTTAAATGAGATGATATATTAAGAGCCACTGTCTAAGGACTCATTTATTAGTACCTATCAGGTCATGAAGAACAGAAGTTACTTTTCACAGGTCTTTGTTGCATTTTATTTCTAATTTGGATGAAATATTTAAACTTCATTCTTACTGTTTCTGAAAAGGTTACCAGGAGCACTCATTTCTTATGCAAACAACCGCTGGCCATTCAATCCTCACAGGAGGCTCTCCCAGATTCTCTGTGCCTACTGCCAGAAGTCCTGCTGTGTTGCTTCAAGGCTTGGGGGAGGTAGAGTTTGTCCCTGAGGGAGCTCTAGAATATGCACAGCAGGCCTCCAGGAGGAGCCAGGGAAATCTGTTTTTAGAATGTCTTTGAAAAATAGGTTAAATATGAAATAATGATGCACCTGACATTTGCAGTATGTCTTACCATCAGTAGCTTCATTTTATGTACTTATTCAACAAATATTTAGTGAGTTCTCTGTGCCATCTCTTGGGCTGTAATGAAAAAGAAAATGGCTTATGTCCTGTTTTGTGGAGTATAGATTCTCACTGGGGTGAGATCCAGAAGGGATGGGGATACCCTGGACACTCAAAGCAAGGAGTAAGTAACCTTGCTGAAGTGACAGAGTTAAGAAGCTGGAGTTCTGAGAACATTCAGGCTGCTAGCTGTAGCCCATTTCCTGTGCTCAGGACTGGATAACTTGCTTGTAGACAGAACAAAGAAAGGAGGCAAGGAGGCAGTCATTTTTCCTTGGAGATGTTTGCACTTAGGGGATACAAAAGATAACGGCCTGCACAACAGTTAGAGAAATATAGAAAATGGCCTCAGCCCATGGTGGATGTTTTGGTGAAGTCTAGAAAGGGAAGCAGACAATAGACTAAATGGTTCTCCATGTGTCTGGTAGTTGAATGGGGAACCAAGCAGACGGCTACTTGCAGGATGGAAGGCTGGCTGTGGTGACATATGACTACAATCCTAGCAGGTGGGAGGTAGAAGAGGAAGATCAGGAGTTCAAGGTCATCCTAAGCTACATGAGTTTGATGTCATCCTCTTCTACATGAGACCTTGTCTCAAAAACAAAGACAAAAGAAGAAAAAAAACTGAAAACCTATAGGATGGAAGTGTTTGAGGAAAAATGTATATTTATCAGGGCTGTGAAGGACATGTGGCAGCAGAACATGAGGTGGATAGACTGGCTTCTTACAGATGTTAGAATAGAGCCATACAAGGCCGATTTCTAGCATATATCCTAGGACTGCATCTATCTCTGTGTCTGGAGACATGTACCATGTTTAGGTTTTATCTTACAGTATGGCCCACCTGGAGTCTTTCAACCAGGCCAGATAACAAATCGAGCAGTCCTCAATGTGTATGGGGGCTTGTCAGAATGGCGAGCAGATGGCTACCTGTTGGATAAATACCAGGTGAGGATCCTGGGGTTTTATTACTGATTCCTATGTGACTTCTGAGAAACCTGGATGTTGGGGTGAATTGTATATTCTTGCCTTGTGAGCTAGTGAATGAAATTAAGAAATACATAAACATATGCATTCTATTGCCCTTTGTCAATAATAAGCATATTTAAATGCATATAGAAATATATGTATTGCATCTATTCTGCAAGCACTACAGTGTTAAAATAATGCTTAGATGGGCTGAGAAGATGGCTGAGTGGGGAAGGTGCTTGCTGTGCAAATGTAAAGACCTAAGTATAACACCCCCCAAGAACATATGTAAATTCAGGAATGGTAAAGTTCACCTGTAATCCCAGTACTCCTATGAGTGATATGGGAAGCTGGGGAATCCTCAGCTGCTCAAAGACTAGCTGGTCTGGCATACACAGTACCTAACATCAAAGAGATCCTGTCTCAAAGGCAGGTGAACATCAACATCCATCTTCCATACATGATCTGTGGCATGTGAACATCTATACTCAACATGAATCATACACGTGAATACACACATACATATACAGCACATATCACACACATATGTACAAAAGATAAAAAAAATTAATTCTTAGAGTTGATTTGATTTTAAAATTTATTTGTAAATGATGCAATTAAGTTATTTTTTAAAATTCTTTTCTTGGGAAAAAGCATGTAGTTCTTGGATAGATACATAGGGCCAATGCTATGTTCCTCTGTTTTATCAGCTAGGAAAAATAGAGCAAGAGTTTTACACAGACCAGGACCTGGCTATAGGTGCCACCATCAATGTGTGGGGAAGGAAAGTCCTCCTCTGTGACTGTGATGAATTTACCAAGACCTATTACAGGACAAAGTATGGAATTGGTAAGTGATACTCACGCCGGTTAGAAAATATTTTATCACTTTATGCCCTACTTAAGATTTACTTTTGTTCTTTTCATACTCCTGAAAACAGGCCTCTATGAAAAAGCTCATTGTCTCCATGTTAGAGGTGAAGAAACTGAGGCCCTTTAAGCTTGGTTGTCCAAGGCTTTGCGATAGAGAGAAAGCGCCAAGAATTAAACTTGTCTGCCTCATGCCAGGGGCTTCCGTTTCCCCTTAGAAGTCTCTTTCTCACTGTAATGCACTATATTCTAGTAGGACACTTGAACTAGAAATGTTAAATCCCTTCTCTTCATTTAATTCTTGCTTACCATAATGGATGACATTCACTTGAGTTCTCTAGGGAAATCTCTTGTGCCAGTTAGCTTTGCATTTCCTGGTGAGGCCCAGCTAGGTTTCCCATTTCTCTTTTCATGGGTATCAAGTCCATTCCAAGCAAGCAAGTTCAGTTGAGCGAAAACTAGTGATTTACTAAGTACCTACTATGTGTAGGTCAATGCAGTAGGCTAGAAGTGATGCAGAGTTATAGAAGAGGTTTATAGTCTAAAAGAGGGGATGTGGGACCGGCAGAACACTGCACCATATTATGAGAGAAGCAGGCAGAGGATATGCTATAAAATCTAATATCCAAAACCTTAAACTCCCACTTCCACCCACTTCCTAAACCTTGTCCCTACTCATGGTCCACATACCTGCTGCTGCTGGAACTGATAGGATTTGTTGACCTACCAGTTTGGAATTGTGATAGTGCCTTGTACTCTATGTAATCCTCCTTCAGTATCTTCAGGGAATTAGTTCTAGCCCTTCCTCTATACCTAACTCTGAGGGATGCCTAAGATGAAATGGTATAGCATTTGCAAAGAACCTATACAAATCCTCCTATATACTTTTATGTATTCATTCATTCATTTAATTTGAGACAGAGTCTTATCATATTGCTCAGTCTTGTATTGAACTTGGCAATACTTATACCTTAGCCTCCTAAGTAACTTGGGTAACAAACAGGTGCCTTGCTACTTTAAATCAATATTATATTACTTGTGATACCTAATTCAGTATAAATGCTATGTAAATAGTTGTTATTGTTTAAGGGAGAATGATAGGAAAAGAAACTATACCTGATCAATACTGATACAGTGGGCTGAATTAGAGCGTGTGTAGTATGTTGACCTGGAGGATTGATGTGTATTTCTGTGAACTGTGGTGTATTCACTTAAACATGCTCTCTGAGTGGTAAAATGAAGCTGAACACCTGTAGCTTCTTAAAAATAAGAAGCTTGGATATTTTGTTTCATTTTGACATGTTTTTGTCTTATTGATCTTTTGCTTGTTTTTATTTTCATTTTGTGTTTTTGTGGCGGGTATTGTTTTGTTGTTTTAGGAGAGAGGGCTACAATATAAAGTTGGGTGGGTGGGGAGGTGAGAAGGATCTGTGAGGATCTGTGAAAAAACATGATCAAAATATATTGTATGAAAAGATTTTAATTAAAAAAGCCACCCAGAAGCTTTGTGTCTAGAATGAAAGGACGCCTGCTGACCTTATGTGGTGTTTGCACTGTACAGTATTGTGTTTCCTAGGAATGTGGATTCTGAGGGAAGGTGCATAAAGCACACAAAGTGGTTAGAATGCAAAGGACTTCCGGTTTCTCTTTCAGGTTCATTAGGGGAATTTGTTCTACCACATCTGCGTGCTAGATTCATGAACATGTCTGGGTCAGACATGAGTCAACTTGGTGGCTGGTCTCTCACTTTCATGTCTAGAATTGGTTCTCTTTAGTGGACACAGCTGAACATATTTACTTCAAGGATTATAGACAATCAAATAGGAATGATCATATAGGTAGCAGCTGCTCTAGAGAAGTTTCTAGTGGATCTTAAATCACTGGGGAAAAGAATTTGCCCTTAATAAATATAGATACCTGTTTAGAATCAGTACACCTTCAATTAAGATTGAGAATTTGATGATGGCTCACTGAAAACCATTACATACACCTGAAGATTACTCTCATGAAAGGATGTGGTAGAAGATTTACGGATTACCATAACAATTCCAAAATAGTGTATGATTTCCCGAACAGAGATCCAAATTTGGCTGTTGTTCGTCAGCTTGGTTTTGAGAATATAGTATTTGTATTAGGGAAAAATGGATGCTGTAGTGAAGGGACTCGGTCACTCATCCACATCTTTTGTAGCTTCTACAGGGAATTTTATGAGATAGTGTGAATTTTCTGGTATGCCCCAAACCTAGCTGTTCTGGGTAAATGTATCAGCTTCAAATGCCTTGTAGTCCATTCCAGTTGAATCTGTCCTAGTGTTTAATTTCTTTTAGTCCATTTCCTTTGTTCCCTCTAGACTGATACTATATTATGCAATAAATGTACTTTGTGCCTTTAAAGTTAACAGTGTATTTTTAAGCAGAAAATTATGCAAATACAAATTTAGGATGCATTTCATAGTCAAGCCAACTTTTTAATACTTCTCACATGTTAAAATAATCCTGTTTAACAAATACTATTACAGAATATTTTTTGGGTTTTAATACCATACTTAATGTTACAAATGACTGTAAATTATATTCATGGTGAAATCTGGAGAAGTGGATTCACATTTTCTAATAATCTTTACATTTGCTTTTTCTGACTTTTGTAAAGTTAAATTAATATACTTCATGTTACTTAAATGTGGTTATTTCTGGCATTTAAAAAATTAGAGAAGTGATCTTTATTTTTCTTCATTAGTGACTGTGACATGTTGGTAAAAATATTTATAAGGATGAGAAACTTTTCCATGTACTTTAACAGTTAACATAAACATTAACAGGCAATTTTAATGAATAGTATTAATGTGATGGTAAGGGTGATAATTTTGTTCATAATTCATGTGGTCTTAAAAGTTGATAAGATATAATCTTATCTATTATGTTTTGCTCTTACTGAAGCCTAAACCAGAACAAAGTGCCACCAGTAACTGTGGTCCTGGAAGAAAGAAGGAAGAGGCTCTCTCTCTCTCTCTCTCTCTCTCTCTCTCTCTCTCTCTCTCTCTCTCTCTCTCTCGTGTGTGTGTGCGTGTGCGTGTGCGTGTGTGTATGTGTTCCTGTTGGTGGCTGCATATGTGTGTATGTGGTGGCAAGAGATCAATGTTGGGTCTTCCTCAATGGCTCTCTACCTTAATTTTGAGACATAGACTCTCACTGAACCTAGAATTCATCAGTTCTGCTAGACTGGCTAGCCAGTAAACCCCATCTCCCCATTGCTGATATTACAGGCACATGCTGTCATGCCTGCCTATTTTTTAAATAGATGCTGGGTATAGAATTTAGATATTCATGCTTGTGTAGCAACTTTGCCAACTGAGCCATCTCCCCAGTCCTCAGGGACCATTTCTAATACATTATTCAGCCTTAGTACTTTAGACCCTTGTCTTATGTGGTAAAGTTCCAATTAATTTTAGTGGAGAAAAAAAATGGCAGAAAAGGATTTGGCCATAACCCAAGGAAGATGTATGGATACCTTTTCTATTTGTGTAGAAGTACAGGGCTTGATAGAATTCTGAAAGACATTTGAGCCTCTGTATGCAAAGCAGTCCCCTAGAAAGATGAGATTTCGTCATTCATTTTAGGATTCCAAGGAGATGGTAACTCCATAGATATTTTGCACAGTCTTGTCCATTGTAACTCCTGCTTCAAGCAGTGTGGCCTCCTGTTGCGGGTGGCTGGCCTGCCGGAATGGAGTGCTTCACTCCCTCACTGTTGATGTTGACAAATCAGATTGGCAGGTAGAAGTCTGTTGGGCTTTCCTGTAGATGAAGAGTTTAAAATGTTCCAGGGGCTCTAGTTTGTCCTTCTTGGCACTGAAAAGACAAAGATTTGAATTTTAACTATTCTTATCTAGGAATTTATGCCTTAGGTTATTGATTAATATGATTTTACTCTTCTTTCTCCTCTCTCCTCCTTTACCCTCTCTCTTGTGTCTCCTTTCCTCGAACACTGTCTGACTGAGTTGGTACTCACTATGTAACACAAGCTGGCCCTATATTTATGGCAATCTTCCTGACTCAGCCTCCCACTACTGGGATTTACAGGCCTATACCATTATACAGAGCTTATAGGAATATTTTCTAATCACTGATTTTGGTGATTGGTAAAACCAAAGCAGTAACAGAATCATTCATTCTCAATGGTTTTGAGTACTTACATTGAGACTAAGGTTGAAGACAATTTTAAAGCACCTTTCATTTTCTATGATCAATTCAGGCTATCTCTGAACTCTCAGGACTAGAAGAAGGGGGGCATGGCAGAGGACAAGTCAGTGATCACTTGAGGAAACTGTAGCAGCAGACATAGGACTGGTTAATGGCTTACCGGGTGGCCATGTTGGACTTCCTAGGTTTACTTACTTCATTCCCCCTATAGACTTAGTAAGGATGGTTGGAGAATAGAACTTTGAGTTCTGACTGTATAATTGTTTAACCTAGATATTGACAACAAGCAGAGGTGGATTTCCTTTGAAGCTAAGGACGGTTGCTTAGTTTTCAAAGTTCTTCCTTTATAGGGGTCCTAGTCCAAAGCCCAGGCCTAATTTTGTCTTAATAATCTGGCATTCTTTGGCTTGAAGATTTTTTTTCAAAATTATGTAAGCTTCCAATTTCCTAAAGTCTGGGTTATTAGATCATAGGAGATAAACTTTTGAGGTATTTAGTGTCTTTCCCCAATAATGCTTCCACCTGAGACAGCATGGAGAACCATTAGACTCCATTTTTATATACAATCTCTCGGAAGTTTGTTTGAATCTATTCAGTCATGGATAAAAAAGGCATTCAATTCATATGTACAAGTCATTTGGAATGTGAGGAATCAAAGTATTTAGAAGACATGAGTGTTTCGGTGTCTACCCAAATATCAGTTATAGAACATATTTGGGAAGATGCTTATACAAAAGTGTGTGCCTTTTCATTTGCTCAACATTTCTGAAATAAGCAGGGTAGATGGGGTGATAAAAACCCAATGACAACCAACTTCTCATTCATGTATGTTTCTGTGGCTTTGTGAACCTATGTGAGCTACCAAGTAGATATGATTTAAAGTTGAATCTTGATCCAGAGTTTCCAAAAAGGGTCTATATGATGTTATAAAAGTCAAGGGTGGTGAAGTGGAACAATTCTCATTTTTTTATACACTAGATGGCACTGTGGGTGCAGAGGAAAGCTCTAAATTGGTTCTTTTGTTACTTGAATCTGTTGCAAAAATTAGGTAGTTGAGAAAACAACACCATGTTTTAAGACTTGTAATGAAGACTATAGAATATATTCTTAGTGACTTTATGCTTAAGAATCAAAATTTTTGGTTAGTGTACTCAGATTAGTGTGTAGTGCAATCTTTTGGTCAGTGCACTCTGACTAGTAGGTAGAGTTGTATGTATATGCCCCCTGTTGGAAGAAACTGCTCAGGCCCCAATTTTCTAATTACATAAAGCTTTCCTGCTATTTCCATGGTGCTTGCCCTGGAACAAAGGTAGCAAACAGTGGTGTTTTTTATGTAATGGTGAGCAAGGATAGAGTCTACTGCAGTTCAAACTTGAAGATTTGCGCTTTTCTCTTATTACTGAAATGTCTCTTTAATCACAAAATGAACATTAGGAAAGGTTCATGAGATTCTCTATAAGGACACACTGGTTGTATCTTTTCACTGAGCCAGTGAGAAATAGTTGATGGCAATTCCTTTGTCAACATGTCTGCTGTGAGCAGTTTCCGTTAAGATGGAACAATACTCTTCTGGGGATTGTGCCTCAGGAAATTTCACACAAACCAGCTAGGAAATCTAAGAAAAATTGAAAGCTGAAAAATGTTTTGAAATCAGAATTACAATTGGCTTCATACCTTTAGCCTTTTGATCAATTAACAAATCCACTTAAATTTTTAGAATTTTAGATGACAAATTGGTGTCTTTTTTTTTTCTAATGGTGGTATGTACCAAAATCTGGATTCTTTCTTCTATTAGAAGTTTGACCATGGAAAAGGAAATATTACATTTGTAGAACTCTTTTTGTTCACAACTGAAATACCTATCAAGCTTAGGGAAGAAAGAAAAACAAAGATAGTAGTCTGTTTTATTTTTGTTTTGAGAAATGTTCTAGAATCTCCTTTGCCATTTGTAGTGGGCCAAACACAGTGACTTGGATAGATTGGGTCAGTATGTTATTTGTTCTAGAAAGCACACTTGCTTCTTAGAGATGACACAGCCCCATAATGATTACCTAAGAGATATTATAAGCTTGCCCTAGTCTTTCCTTTTTTACACATGATAAGTAAAAAATAAAGTCAACAGTATTGACCATGTCACATTCCATTTGAGAGTGTAGGCGGTGGGGTATCCTTAACTGCATTTTTGCTTCATTACAACTATAGTTGCAGTCTTATCTTGAGCAATAACATGAGTGACCTTGAACAGTGGCTGGTGACAGGAAGGGGATTTTATTTTTCTATTTGTTTTTTAATAGACAGTGAAGTACAGTGTCTTAGAGTTGAATTGGAGGCAAAAAAGAGGACTTAAAAAGTGGATCCAAGGAGGAGGAACTCGCCAATGGGTAAAGTTAAAAGGGAAGCAGTCAGGAGTCAGTCCTATTTGGAAAATAATTTTTATTAGTGAGTGTTGACTGAAGATAAGAGAGGGTCAAATTACAGGTTAAAATATGGAATTGATGGCATAAAGTTTCAAGTTTGAATTTTTATATCATTGGAAAAATCAAGAGAAGAGCAAAATAATATTCAGAAATGGGGGTGTGAGGTTATTTGACAAAGATTTCTGCTTTTTTTTCTTTTGAACCAATGACTATTAAGTGAGCTCTGTGGTTTTTATAAACATGATTGAAACCTACTCTCATAGGATTTTACCATGTTTTGTTTGAAAGAGTTTAAAATAGTGTACAAAATCTTCATGTTCATCTTGAAATAATAACAGACCTTTAAAAACAACCATAACCAGGGCAAAAAAATATTGATGTTTTGTTTGCCTGTGTTTTGTTATAGATAATTTTACCGCCATTTCATGCAAGCCGCCTCCTCTTCCAAAAATAGAAAGGAAGTACCCACCTTACACTGGCTTTGGGTCTGAAGAGGATTCTTTCCGCTCCTGCGTGGGACTCAAGCCCACACCCCATCGGAGGAACTTCAAAAAATTCATGGAACTAGACAGGTGCCTGAGGGGACCTTGATTATAGTCCTGGCTTTCCCAAAGATGTTTAGAATTTATGACATAACCCTGTCACACAGCTCATTTGATTTTGAGCCCAGGGACATGTTACTGTAGCTTTCCAATGAGGTTGATGAATGCACAGGTATTGACAGCTTCTTCCTGGAGTTCATATTTTAATGTGTTATTTGGAGACATCTAAAGTCATATCACCCCCTGCCTGATGTCTTTCCATATCTATCTGTCTTTCTCTCTCTTGAGGAAATAATGTAGAAGAGGAGTCAGCAGATTTCGAAGGTCAGAGAGTACATGACTTTGGGTTTGTGGGCCATACAGCCTCCATCACAGGCACTCAGATATGACATTATAGCATGAAAGCTACATGGACAGAATGTAAACACATGTGTAACTGTGTTCCAATAAAACATTTTATGGACATTGACATCTGAATTGCATAAAACATTAACATATCACAATGTATTATTCTGATATTTTTCTTTTCAACCACATAAAAGTGTACAAACAACGTTTAGCTCGAAGGCTTACAAACACAGGTGGCCAGCTGGATCTGTCTCACAGACTATGGTTTGCCAACCCCTGATACAGAGATTTCAGTGATTTGTTAGTGTTTTTCAACATGTAATTTTAGAAAATTCATGTTGCTTTGACTTGAGAGGTTTGGTTTGAGTTCAGTAGGAATAGACTGCTTATATTGCTGACTATAATTTCAAAAGATAGATTTTCCAAAGTATCCCTAATACACATGAGGCACAAGCTGCTCCTGAATTATTCATGTAGAATATGAGCACTGCACTAGTTATGTCTACCTTTTGGTTCTTCAGGATGAGCAGGCCTTGGAGAAAAAAGTCAGGGAAAAATTGTGGAGAAATGTTGCAGATGCTTGAATAGGATATAAGTTAAAAATTGTGGCTTTGTGTGAGGGAGATAATGGGTTGGGAGATTCTGGGAGAAAAATGACAAAGGGAACATGTCTTAAGATTTGAAGAAGAAAAAGCACCTGGAATTTAGTCAAACTGAATGAGATCCCATGCTGTTGTCAAAATTTGAAAGAAAGAGAATAAAATGTTATGCTATATCTATAAAAATGGTTTAACTGTCTGGCTGTAAATTGTATGGAATGTGGGAAGGTATGCCTTTGCTGTGATATGATGTCATTTGTTTTTCAAGAAATTACTGTTTATTTTTAAGAACTTTAGAGTTTTATTTAAATTTCAAACTCTACTTCTCAAAGTGTGGTTCCCATACTTGGTAGAATGTTAACTCTTGTGCTTACTTCTGGATGGAGTGAGAAAGAAATGTTGGGGTGGGGCCCAACAATCTCTTTACACAGGCACCCTGGGGGATCCTGAGGCGCATCACTGTTTGAGAATCAACTGATTTTTACACATAAGAGGGACATCAACATGTCCATGTTCTCTTGTTGGTAACATTATTATGGCTAGGATCCAGGGTAGACTTTGATGCACTTTTTTCAGTAACTACTGTTTTTAAGGGCAGCCACCTGGAGGATATGGAAGAGAAGAATAACCCTATTATAAAAGAACAGGGAAGTTTTCTTATAACTAAATAATATGAAATATTATCTAGAGAGAGTGTTGCTTCTAAACCCAGGTAAAAATAGTTCTTTGTGGATAGTTCACTTAGTTTCTGTCTGCCCTGTAAAACTGCCCTGAGGACCCTAACTACAGATAGGATTGTACATGTAAGTCATACTTTAGTGGGTTGGAGAATGGGGATATAGGCACAAATGTCTCTAATTTCATTTCTTTTTGTCCAGTGCTTGTTTTGTGTCAGGAATATACTTCCTTCAAGCTCCTCCTACACAATGACCTTGTTTCCATGGTAACTGGCACAAACTGGCTGAACAGGACTGAAGTACTTTGTTGTCTTTGTAGACACAATACTCTGCTGATCATACTTCTAATAATAATAGCACTAGTGATAAGAAGTAGTTAGTAGTTTGCTTTGAATTAACTACTTTATAAAATCTGATATCATCTAATCTTTAAAGCAGCCTTAGAAGACAACAGATGATATTCTTACACTTATTTTTCAAGTGAGGAAAACAAGACTCTAAGAAGCTCTGCAGCTTGTCCAAACTCACAGCTAATTTTTAGTTAAACTAGGGAGTGAATCCAGGGAAATTTCATTTCTGGAGTTTACCTTCCTTGCCATAGAATCTGTACTTACCACATGACTTGGAGATTACTCACATATGTAATTTCTGGGCTCCCCCAGACTAAGAGTTCCTTGGAGTAAGAGACTGGTTTTATTGTTTACCTGAGAGTTAGAAAAATGCCAGCAAATGTTTCATCCAATGAGAAAAGGTGTAGATAAATAAGTACAGTGGTTGAAAAAATGTTTGCTAGTCTTGTTCTTTTTAAAAAATTATGTCTATTGTATAAGTGTTTTGTCTGCATGTATGTATGTCCACCATATTCATGCATGGTGCTTCTGGAGGTCAGAGGAGGCCATCAGATCTTCTGGAACTGAAGTTATGGGTGGTTGTGAGCTGCTATGTGGGTGCTGGGAACTGAACTTGGGTCCTCTTCCAAAGCAACAAGTGCCCTTAATTGCTTAGTTATCTCTCTAGCCCCACTAATCCAGTTTTTAATGATGGATCAAAATAAAAGGAGCAGATAGCTTCTTAACAGGAAAGTTATCATCTCATACTTCTGCTATTCTAACCATATATATTCCAAAAAGTTATGGTTTTTAATATTAATATTAATCTTTCACTGGTTTCAGGTCTTGTCCATCTTTTGTTGCCACCAACCCCCCTTATTTTTTTCTACCATTATCTAAAATAAGGTCTTCATATGCTTTTCAATATGAAGACTTACTTATCTCTAGAGCAGTGGTCCTCAAACTGTGGGTCGACCCCTTTGGAGTTGAACAACCCTTTTATAGGGTTCACCTAAGACCATTGGAAAACACATTGCCATTCATACCAGTAGCAAAATGATTGTTATGAAGTAGCAATGAAAATCATTATATGGTTGGGGATCACCACAACATGAGGAACTATATTGAAGGGTCATAGTAGTTGGAAGGTTGAGAACTATTTCTCTAGAGCTTTTGTTCTTGTTTGTTTGTTGATCTTTTTAAGGTTCTTTGTTATAGGTGAACTTGGGGTAGGGTGGTCAACAAATACGTCCCAAGGACCTGCTGTGTGACAGGCATTTACTTAGGTGTTTGTGATATATCAATGAAAAAAGCAGCCATATAAGCCCACTTTCTCTCATAAAACTTCATTCTCATTGAGGGAGATATGCCAGAAAGTAAAGGTACTCAAGTATATCAAATAGTATATAGAATGTGTTAAGTATCACATTAAAAAAAGAAAACATTAATTTTCCATGCGAAGGATCTAGGAGTATATGAATGATGACTGTCCCTAGTTGCAATTTTCAGTGGTGCTCTGATAGACCTTTCTGAGGCAAAGAGACATAGTCCAAGCAGAAGGTAGAGTCAGTGTAAACGCGCTGAACAATGCATATGCATGGAGTATGTAGAAACTCTCCAGGAGACCAACGTGAATAGAGAAGATGAGGAAAGGGCAGAATGTACCTCATAAACACGAGGTAAAAGTAACAAAATGTGGGATCATATAAGGTTTTGCAGGCAATCATAAGGACTCTTGATATTTAGAAAGATAAGGAAGAAGCATTAGGAGATTTGACTAGAGAAATGACTTGATTGGCCTATTGGAAGAATCTTTCCTATGCAGTGTTAAGAATGGACTATACAAAGATGGTAGTAGATTGAAGACAACCTATGAGATTGCTTTAATAGTCCAACAGAAAAGTTATCACATCTGCATGAATACTATTGGAGGGATGAAATGAAATGGCAGATTCTGAACATGTTTTGAATGTAGAGCTAATAGGATTTCCTGACAGATTAGATATGAGGTGTGAAAGAAGAGCTACAGATGTCTTGATGTTTAGACCTGAGTAATTGGAATGATGCCATAGGTAGAATGGGTTTGGGGGCAAGAACACAAGTTCAGTTTTAGAACAAGTTGAGATGGCAATTAGATACCAAGTGAAGATGGGTATGGTATGTATTGAGGGTATTCAGGAGGCAGGTCTAAGCTGGAGATGTAAATTTTGAAGTCATCAGGATGTAGTTAGCATTTTTGTTCATGATGCCAAATTGTACTCAAGCTTTCAGACTATGTTAGATCACCAAGGATGAATGGATGTCAAGAAGTACATGAATAAACCTTGGGACATCCCAAATTAAGCATTTGGAGAAAAGAGAAGGAACCACTGAAGGAGGATGACATGGAACAAACAAAGAGATAGGAATGACATGAAGCTAAGAAAATGCATAATGCTTTGAGTCAAGTGATCGAGATTGTCATAGAAGTTGCTGATTAGTAAAATTAGATGCAAAAAATGACTAAGAACTGGATTTGGCATTGTGGAGATGATTGTTAACTTTTGTAAGAGCAGTTTAGCTAACACAACCCTTTACCAATAGAAATGGATTTAAATGAAATGAGAAGGGGCAGGGGATATGACTTACTGGCATACTTCAGGCCTTGGGTGCCATCCCCAGCATGGGCAAGACAGCAGGAAAGGGACAGTGGGGAGAATTCAATTCAGTGAAGATAGGTAACATTGGACTGTATGTCTAAAACATTAAGACATGCATCCTAAATCTAGGAATTTATAATTTGTTTTGGGACAATGGGAATAAACACATATTAACGCAACCAGCCAAGAGTACAAGACTGTATAGTGCTAAATTGCTAAATGTGACATCATGGTTGATGCAAGCGATATGAGTAGTTGATCACTTGGGAGGACAGAGACTGTGATCAAAAGTTTTCAGGCATTTGATAATTGGCTTATATGAAGGAAATATTTTAACATATTTAGAGCTTTCTTACAATTTCCTCTGGGGACTATCTTGTCAGACTCCCCTGGTAGCACATTAATAATGCAGTTTTCTGCAAATATAAGCTCACTTGTGAGTTCGTATCTCTAGTGGTGAGATTATGGATTATGCATATGTAATAAGTTTTCCGGGTGACTTTTATGTACATCAGACTTCATGAATGACTCAATTTTATTGAGTAGATTTATGTTACCAATTGATGAGATATCCAGAATACTAGAATTAAGGGGGGTGGAAATGAGTGGCATATTCAAATATTCACAGTAAACACTTATAAACTTAAGTCCTAGGAAGTTAAATTTAAAATAGTATTCATTTGGACATAGATTAGAACTCATTCAATTGTTTATTGATGTTTTAGACTCATAAAGATATATGAGTCTTTTAGAAGAGGGGGCTGTTAAATATTTCTTACTTGTGAGTTCAATTAGGTACCAGAGAAGGTAACTGATATAGTATAACTGGCCCAAATAGTTTATAAGGTCCATCTGAAGCTTTGGAACTAGGCACTTTGGAAAATCCAAATTGTGACCCCACTGGTGGTTTTGCCCAGGCTGTCTGGGATGAGCTTTACAAACTATTGTGCTCTATCTCACACAAGGCCTCAAGTTGGCAATCTTGCCACTGTACTTTCCTGGGCCACCTTCCTATACAGTTCAAGAAGGGGCAGAAGAGCATGTTATGCCTTTGCAAATTAGAAATACTTTGTTGTGGTTTGTATCACTGTGAACACAAAGAATGGATTTCAGGATAGGAGAATCTGAAAGTGATAGGAAAGTGATGAAGGGAATGGATACTTGTAAGGGTAATGCTTTTGATTATCAGAGACCTCCCCAAGGGCTTACTTTTTGTTGAAGGGATGACTTTCACTGGCTAGTAACTGCAGCTGTATTTTTTTTACTGAGAGACCATGAGTTACTTAGTTCACTGCTCATGCAACCAACTTTGGGAACTATTTCTTTTATTTTTAAGATAGGGTCTTATTGTGTAGCGCAGGCAGGCTTTAGACTCATGAACTCAGCCTCCCCAGTGCTGGGGCTACAGGTGTGTGTTACCATTGCTTACCTGAGAAAATTTTTAAATTTTATTTCATTCCATCTTTACTCACCTATTCATTCACATAGTTCTAAGTTTATCTTTATGGGTGTAATTTTCTGAAAACATTTAGTATAATATAATATAAAAATGTTATAGCAGATAATGTTTAAAATAAGACAGCATTTCCCTTTGAAAACAGACATGTAATGACTACATACAATACAAATAGTAAGTACATTAAAATGGAGACACAGTCATGATGTTTATGAAGGGGAAAAGTTAATGTTTTCCTTTAAAGGAGTTGAGAATGATCCTAGAGAGATGGAGTGATAGAGAGGGGCATATGTGAGCTGCAAGGCAGAAAAGTCCTGGACTTGAGACAGGTGTCCCAGGAGCCCAGTAGAGTATGTCATCTGGATTGCCTTAGGCCAATGTTTATGCCTCTACCTGCTGTGGTATGTCTTTCTGTATGCTGTGAATATGTGTTGCTCTAATTGGTTGATAAATAAAGCCATTTGGCCTATGGCAAGTCAGATTATAGCTAGGTGGGAAATTGAAGAGGGAGACAGGAAAAAGAAAAGAGAGGGGAGAGAGATGCGATCCCGCCATTCAGGGAGCAGCATGTAATGGCACACAGGTAAAGCCACAGAACACGTGGTGACATATAGACTAATAGAAATGGAATAAGTTTAGTTATAAGAGCTAGCTAGCAAAAAGCTTGAGCCATAGGCCATGGCCATACAGTTTGTAATTAATATAAGCCTCTGTGTGTTTATTTGGGTCTGAGCAGCTGTGGGACCGGGCGGGACACAGGAAAATTTCCAGCTACATCTACCTGACAGAATTACTGTGATTGTTGACCAGCTTCATGATCAGAGAACAGCTGATTAATTCACCTGCTTTGAGCAGGTGGTTATGAATTTTTTTGGTTGTGTACACGTTCATGAGGGTTCTTGTCTGTGTGCGTGCACATAGAGGCCAGAGATCAACCTTGGTGCTTTCCAGGAGCCACCTAGCTTGTTTTTTAAGATAGGGTCTCTCATTGGCCTAAGGATTAGGCTCAGTTGGCTGACCAGTGTGCCCCAAAGAACTGCCTGTCTCTCCCTTCCAATGCTGGGGTCTCAAGCATGTGCCACCAGGCCTAGTTTTCAGTATATTTCTCAGACATAATAAAGAACAGAAAAGATTTTAATCTACTGAGAAAAATCCTTTAGTGTTTAGATAAGATGTGTAGACTGTTTAGAAAGGCATAAACTTCTATATTAAAGCCATGGCACACCTTTTGCAATATATATGATGTATAGAGGATTACTTGTATAATGCTCTTACTCTCATGTCTCTTATTTTTAGCTATGGAAACATAAGTAACACACTCCGGTATTTTGCAAAACTAGTCACAGACAAATGTGCTGATGCAGACAGGATGTTCATTATTGCGTTTTATCTCGGTGATGACACAATTTCAGTATTTGAACCTATAGAGAGGAATTCAGGTAAGAGACTTACCTTACTCAGCATTTTCTCAGAACACTCAGCTGCCTTTTTCTTTTGAAATTAGGGAATATAATCTGATTTGATTGCCTAGAAGATCTGTGATGATGATTTTCTAACCAATAAATTTCTTCTTACAACAATGTCTTAAACATGAACCCAAATATATAAAACGATAAACAAAGAACAGCTGTGGTCAGTTACCCAGGGGAAATCCCCTATCATTTCTTTTTCTGAGGTACTCTTACGGAACCTCGGGGCTTCAAAGTCATGGTTTGACTGCCACCAGTCACATTCACAGCCAGAGAGCCAAGAGAGTGTTCCATTGTCCCACTTACAAAATCTTTGCCTGGTTAAGAAAAGAATACAAGATATACAAATTTAATCTTCAGAATCCATCTTTCTGTGGTACTTCTGTTTGTTCTGGCTATTGCCAAAGGTCCTGCCCCCAGGCCTGTAGAATGTTCTCCAGTCTGTTGATTTCATGGCTATTGCTGACGACAGTCATTGACTTACAAATTTGGAAATGTAGGGCTCTGTTCTTTGTTTCAACATGTTTACAACTTTTATCTGTGCTGAAGACATATGTTTGAGAAGAATAACCAGCTCAACTGGCTCTTTCAGAAAAAAAATAAGTAAAAACTTTGCTTTGTACCATTTGCCAATTTACATGTTGTGAGTATCCTGATCAAGGCCTGTAGATGTAACCAACCGTCTTATTAAATAAGAAACACAGAGCCGATTAAGAAAAGAAAGCCAAGAGGTCAGAGCTAAGAGCCTCACCCTTTCTGCTTCAGCGATCCTCTTCAGCCAAGAGAGCTCTCCAAAAGGGACCTACTTCCTGTGTGTTTGTCTTTATAGTCTTTCTGTTCTGCCTTCTCATTGGTTGTAAACCCAAACACATGACTGCGTCATCACTGCCTGTCTGTAGAGACTTCCAGGTCTTCTATGGTTGGGATTGATATTAAAGGCGTGTGTCTCCAATGCTGGCTGTATCCTTTTACACACAGAGATCTACCTAGCTCTGTCTACCAAGTGCTGGGATTAAAGGCATGCACCACCACCCCACCGCCACGCTCTTGCTATGGCTCTAATAGCTCTGACCCCCAGGCAACTTTATTTATTAACATACAATTAAAATCACATTTCAGTACAAGTAAAATGCCACCATATTTCCCCTTTTCTATTTTAATAAAAAGAAAAAAGAAAAAGGTTATAACTAACAAAAGAAAAACTATATACAAAAGTACAATAACTATATACAATATATACAAGTAATGAATATCTAAACAATGTCTAGTCCATTTGTATTTGACAAATTCAGAGAAAATAATTTCATTATCTATCCTATTTTGGTAAGTCCAAAATGTATCTAATTCACTTTCTATCCTAATTAATCTTCAACTATAACTAACTAACCTTCAACTATAACTAACTAATCTTCAACTCCCTCAGAGACCCAAGAAGGAAATATTAGCTAACAAAAATAAAAACAGGAAGTGCATGCAAGCAACTTCCAAAAAATTTGTGAGTTGACAGAAACAGCCAGCTGCCTGGACAGTCACGTGAGGTTTCTCCGCAGTGCTGGGGCATCATCTTCAGCCTATAGGCTTAGCGTATCTGACAGACTCATTTGTGAAGTAGGATGTACACAAGGTCAACAGTTCAACCTCATGTTGGGTGAGAGCAGTCCATGTACCAGAAACACCTGAATTCCACTAGTGTCATGTCATGATTCAGGATTTTAAATTCTGGAAACTGTTGATGGTTTTTTAATTCAGCTGTCCATTCTTCTTGGCTGTGTATATATGGCTTCATCTCAGCATCCTGTTCTTCTCCACATCCCTCTATCAAATGCCAGTCTACTATGGAGAGGCGTGAGCTTAGTTACTCTTCAAGAATAACTGTTTCAGCTGCTGTTCCACTGCACATCAGAAGCCATCGGCCCACTGCCTGTTCAGCTGCCTTTGAAGAAAATGGCACTGTACCTTTTCCAGGTTGTGAAGGCCACTTCAGGGATGGTGCCATATCGTCCTGGCCTCAGAAGATGCCTTTTGATAAAGCCATAACCACACTTGTTTTGGCAAGAATCAGTAGTCCTTTGTTTCATGTCCTGTCTGTCCATTTTGTCAGCAGTTGATTTGAGGATACTTTGTTGTCCAGTGGCTAGCTTTTGCCACAATGAAATTTAACTCCATATGCAGTTTCTTCAATGCCCATATTTTCTCTGAAGTAGATTGGTACTGCCAGGAGCCGACATGTCTCAAAAAAGAAAAATTTTCTAAGTTATTAAAACATTTTAAATGCCATATTCTGTAGATCTCTGAAGGGTTTGAAGATGACCTGTCTATCTAAAATATATCTGCTCAATTTTTTAAAACATATCTAATATGACTACAAGTTCTATTGTAATGTCTAACTACTAACTTTCATTTCTTTATATCCTAATAGTTGTTAATAATAACATTCAAGGATCAGAAAATTGCATTGTTAAATGAACGGTATAAGTACAATTAGAAATATAGATGTAACATTTTCTAACAATATCAATTTCGATATATATAATTTGTATACAATATAAAGCAATCCAATCCAATGTAAAGTATTTAAAACTAGTAATTGTCTTTTTCTTTTCTTTTCTTTCTCTTTTTTTAAACAAGAACCTTAAATCTAGTCTCCTTTGCTTAACCTTTTTCCTAACCCTTGACAACAACTTGTAACCAACCTCCCTAAACAATAAAAATTATCCCAGACCCAAAACCCATTAAAAAGACCAAAAAACCACCCGCCCCACACCATCTCTTTGGGAATGTGGGCATCGTATTCTTAAAATTCCTTTCTGCTGGGTATGGGCGAAGTTATCTTTATCCTGAAAGAAAAATTGTAGGTTAATTGTCAAATTCTAGGAAAGGTAACTATATCCTTCATTATCCAGTCTGTGTATAATGCCAAAGTTCAGGGTTTATCTCAAGTCCTTATTCAAGTAGTCTTTGAGACTGGATCATCTCAGCTAGTCATCTCAAAATTGCTCTGAGCACCTTGTAGTTCAAAGCTGATCTGTAGATGATGTTTGTCAGCTTAGTGATATTATTATTGTTTAAAAAAACCAACAAGTTTTTTAAAAATGGCATGCAAAATTCTAAAAATGTAACAGTCAGGTCATATACTCAAGCTTCCTTAGTCATTTAGCATGCTGATGAATAATGAATTATTTGTAGAGCTAAGTCAGGCCCCAGTATGATTTGAATAATAGAAAAATCTTAAAGGATGAGCATATGACATGTTCTGAATGTTCACAGATATCAATTTTGTACACTTAGAAAAGTAATGATGGGGCCAAGCAAATTGCATTTGTAAAATAGAAGGCTTACAAATTATGACCATCACTGAGGACTTACTATCATCCCTAAGTTTCACAATAGGTTAGGTCCTTTAAAAAGAGGCAAATTCAGAGACAGGGTTAATGTGGAAGAGATTTATTTAAACAACAACAACAAAAACAAATAAAACATCAACAACAAAATATGGAAGGAACCAGAGGAAGCCCAGAGAACTATCAGACTGCAGTGGGTTCTCTCTCTCTCCCACTTCCTCCCACCCCACCCCTCCTCCAATCTCCTCTCTTCTTGTCGCTTTCTCCATAGTCTCACTATATAGCTCAGGCAAGGACTAAAACTCATTATCTCCTGCTTCAGCCCCCCGAGTGTTAGAATTATGACTAATACCACACGGGTCTATCATACTTTCTAACTCCTATGAAGGACAGAGGAAAGGGAGAAAGTAGTAGGTAAACACCTATGGCTGATTCCATAACTTGGCCACTGTGATGTACCCAAGTACACAGGCATCTTTGTAGTAATCTGCCTTTGAGCCTTGTAGATCTATACTCAGGCCTGTTATACACCTAGATGATGTGCAAGTTCTATTTTTAATTTCTTGAGGAATTATCTTATAATTTCTACAGTTGTTACACTAATTTACATTCTCTCCAACAGTGTTTAAGAGTTACTCGAGAAAAATGTTGTTTCTTTGCCCACTGCCCTATTCTTCCCTCCCACAGTGTGCAACATGACTTTACAGATAATTTGTACCGTCTGTGTTGGAAGAGAAAGTAACTAAAGGCAAGTTGTGGTTCTTCTAAGAATGAAGCAACCCATGGACTCTTCTTTTCCATGTTGCTTTAGGGAACACTGGTGGGATGTTCTTGAAAAGAAGTCGTGTGAAAAAGCCTGGTCAAGAAGTCTTTAAAAGTGAATTTTCAGAATACATCAAGGCTGAGGAGCTCTATGTTGGAACCACAGTGAATATAAATGGCTACCTGTTTATTCTGCTTAATGCTGATGAGTACACCTTGAGGTACATGGAGAATAACACAGACAAGGTGAATACATTGTATACTTTTTGGCTCTCCTCCTTCGGCAGTGTGTGTTTCCCTTCCTCTGGAGTATTTTCTTCTACATCTTGCCACTGGTTTACATTGCACATTCACACATGTGGGCATGAATAATGGATCTGTTCGACTTGGCCACAGGTCCCATCACAGAGGCCCAGCCCTTGTCTCCTCTATTTACATGCTTAGCTCTCCACTGCCCAGCATCACAGATTCCAGACACCAGCGGGAGGCAGGCCTAGGGCTGAATCAAGTTTCCTGGGTTATTTTGCTGACACCAACAATGTTTTTAGAAGGCAGTGCAATAACTAGAGGAAAGGAAGAAAATCTGATGGCAGATACTGTGCTATCCCAATTAATTGACACAGGGGAGTCAAGGAGGCTATGACTAGAACAGACAAAAACCCCAGGGGAACTGAGTAGTTGCTGAGGTTGCTGGTTCCCTTAACAGTGACACCTGAGGCTGAAATTAGAATTGAAGGAGTAATTTGCTGCAGTGAGCTCAGAGAAGTGTCTTCTTCTTGTTATGTTTTATTTCTTGAATTAATTTTAATTTTTTGAGACATGTCTAGCCAGATAGCCCAGGGTGGCTTTGAACTCACTGTCCTCATGCCTTTCTCTTCCCCGAGTGTTGAGATTACAGGTATGTACACACCCAGCCACAATTTCTTTGTTTAATTGAAATACTGCAATGGCAAATGATTACTGTTACTAAAAGTGTTACGCTGATAATATTGTTCAATAAAAATACCATGGGTAAGAATCTCAGGCTTTAAAAGTAGACTTATTCAGCATATAAACTATTTGTACTTGAAGCTCATTGCTTGTAATTTTTAAAAAAATCAGTCTGGAAAAATTTATTTTAAAGTTCTTTTAATAATTATGCACTATTTATACTCACACAGTGAATGCTTTATCTCATTTATAAAGAAAATGCTCGAAGTTAAATTGCTAGGTGTCAAGACAGAGTTAGACCTCCAACAGGTGTATTAGAGGAAAGACCTCTGTGGGATGAAAGGAGAAGGATCAAGAAGACACAGGTAATGCCTGCTACCATCAGAGTGCTGTGCAGGTCAGGTCTGATCCCTGTGAAATGAGAAGGCAAGGAAGGGGCGCTGGCTAGGAAGAGCTTTAGTTAGTACAGGGCTGGAGAGATGGCTCAGAGGTTAAGAGCACTGGCTGCTCTTCCAGAGGGCCTGAGCTCAATTCCCACATGGTGGCTCATAGCCATCTTTAATGAGATCTGATGCCCTCTTCCTACACGCAGGCATACATGCAGGCAGAACACTGTAAACATAATAAATAAATAAATCTTTTAAAAAAGCCCCAAAACTAGTTAGTACAGTTTGGAGAAAGGCTTAGCCAGGGAGATGGGGACCCTAGAACAGCCTGCTTATCAGAGAAGTTCAGAGTCATACAGAAGTGACAGTTGAAGGCTGGTGGTTCTCAGTGCTCTTCTCAGTATCTCTCCTGAGTGTCACAGCTTGCATAGTTACTCTACCACCTCTCCATTTATAGTTTTAGAAATCTAGGTTATTCTAAAACTACAAACCTATACTATATGACAACTCTAAACTCAGGTGAGAAATGTGATAATTAAGCAGTTAGATTTCTGGAGACCCTCAGGCCTGGGTTGGAAACTGGGCTCCACAGTAATAGATGGCAGGCTTTTTAGTTATGTATGATCTGTGAGATTCAGTCTCCTAGTCTTTGAAATAAGAGTAACAATAGTGCTTGTTTGATAAAGTTGCTGCAGATATTAAATGTGATAATTTGTGTGAAGGCCTTAGCCCTATAGGACCCATGGTCAATGTAGCTGTTATAAACCAAGGTTCTTGTTCTGAACAGAACCTCCATCTTAACATAAAACATACCGTTCTTAACTTAGAATTGCTTGGCATGGTATTTTGACTTCACTGTCATGCAAAAGTGATGTGCTTTCTAATAGAAACTAAAATTCTGAGTTTTGATCCCCTTCCAGCCCAGGCTAGTAAGTACTGTGTAGTTCAATCTTCTTACATGATATTGGGCATCAGCAGTGAGCTGCAGACCTCAATATGCACTGTGATCATGAAGAGAAATACTCTCCAGTGTGTTGTATTGCTAAGCTTGAAATGTTCTATAAGTTAGTAGAAATTGGCACAGTTTCAACTTACGTGGGTTTATTAACACACAAATCACTGTAAATTGAGGATTATCTGTGTACTGTGTATATTAAACCATGCAGGTGTCTTTTGCTTTGTTTTGTTTTCGGTGATAGGAATTGAACCCAGGACCTTGAACATGCTAAACTAGTACTTTTCAATTCAGTTATACATCCTGCCAAAACATAATATATAGTTTTAAGGTATAAAGGGATTTACTTCTTTCAGTATGATAAAACAGGATAAGACATTACCTAGTGTCAGCATCTCAAGTGAAAATTGCATTATTTAAAAAAATGCTCTTAACAAGGCCATTGTATGGAGGCAATAATTAATACACTCCTTATTACCAGTCTCAGTAGTCTTTTCAAAAGAACTAATAGATGCTATCATGGAAATACATGAAAGGAAATGCAAAAAAGGAGGAGGGGCTCAGTAGGTGCCAAACCACCTGGATCATTTGATGGTGGAATAGAGGCAGCTTTATACCAAAATAGCATCAGTGTTTTTATTCTAAAATTTCATCTTCTAACTTTTGATCTCTTGGTTGTAATTATTTACAACCTTATGCTTTACTGTATTAAATAAGGAGTATTCTTTCTAAGTAAAAAAGCTAATCACAAAGTAGGAAACAGAAACAGTAGGCTGCCCAGAAAACAAATGTATGTGGGTTACAATGCTTTTGTAGAACTTTGACACCCAGCTTTGCTATGATCGGTGCTTTACCTGGTGGCCAGTAATTCCAAGGGGTCCATCCTAATGATCTAGAGAAGGTAGGTGTGCATTTAGCCAACTATAAATCTTTATTCTTTTCATCAGGGTCTGCTAAAATATCAGGGCTATGTGTGAGAGTTACAAGAAGACTAAGACTTAGTAAGCTTTGTCACCTGCTTTCCCTTAAGTTCAGTTGAGATCTAGGACCTGGGTTAATGTCAGTCCTTGCCCTAAATCTTTCATTCAAAAGATAAGAAGGCTAGTCATTTTTTTCTTCAGATTTGTTTCTAGGTAAAGATATGTATACTACTTTGGGTTCACCATGTAGTCTTTTTGGTCTCCATTACCCTCCTAAGGTACAGGAAATAAACTGCAGAATGATCAGCCCTGAATGGAACATAAATACCACATTATTTCCTTAAGGCTCAGGGATCATTGTGGAAGAAGTAGTCAGAAAGATTGTCTGACAGAGGCAGTGGATGACTGGGAACCAGTGTCTTCTGGGCACAACAGGGAAGCTGCACATATGAGCTCACAATGGTTGGGATAGCATGCATAAGACCTGTAAAAGCCCAAAGCAGACCAAATTCTAGCACAGAAGGTGGAGTTGGGCATGAAATCCCACCAACAGCCCTAGAGCTATTGATAATGGTTAGCTGCTAGGAGGAGAACCAGTTTTCTTTAAGAGTGTAGTCTCTGGTAAGTCAACCACACTCCATTGTAAGACCACACATCCAAAAATACATGAGTAGCACAAATTGGTCTTGGTGGGTTAACAACAAGAAAAAGAACGCAGCTGCATGAGTAGGGAAGACAGGAGGACTTGAAAAGAGTTGGGGAAGGTGATCAAAGCACAGCATAGGAAATTCTCAAAGAACTAATAATAAGAATGATGATGATGATGATGATGATGATGATGATGGTGATGATGATGATAATGGCCTCCTGAAGTCTCATGTATGTGTCTTATTTTTACTCCTACAAGTTTCCATATAGCAACTTTGACTTTGCCGTACAAAAGCTGAAGCAAGAAAAATCTAAATTAAGAGAGATCACGCAGATATTTTCAGCTGTTGACAGTAATCACACGAAGGTGGTGCCTTATAATACATTCAGGTAAGCCGTATTCTATTAGCATTAATTTGTTTTCCCAAAGAATAGAAAGAACCATTTCATTCCTAATGCTTCCCTATCAGTTGGCTACATCATTTTATTAGGAATTGGCATTTCTTTGCCTTTGTGCTATTTTGTAGTCAAGATTTGGCTGTTATATCCTAATAATTATATATAAGACCTTTAGAGGTAGGATGGAGATAAAAGCCAGTTCCTGATAATCAGAGAAAAGGCCATATCTATACTTCAGTGTGTCTGTATGTTCACATGCATCTATATTCTGAAAGACAAAAGACAGGCATCAAAGACTTTGTCTCAATTCCCCTCAGTTTTCCCCATCATGTTATATGCAATAGTAGTGAGAAGTATCATATGAAATCATGAACAATATTTTCTCAAAGGTAAAGTTGAATTCTGGGACTTCCCAGTAGCTGACCTAGGCAAATTCCAAAAGAACAGAAACACAGGGAAATTCAAGTTCAGGGTCTAGTACAATTGTGAGACCTTTTTGCTTGAAAACAAAGTGAATGGAGTATTTAGGAGAATGTAAATTAAATCACTGGTGGAGGACAAAGGGGACTTTCTCTTTAGCCTGAGAATTCTGGCTTCTGAAAAGAATAGTGGCTAAAAGCAATGTAGTATATTGGCCTTGATGCAGTCAAGATGTAGGCTGGGAAATGAAGATAGGAGCCCAGGTGAGAGTGGCAATGGGGACTTTACAAATTTGTATTTACAGTTCCCTGTTGCCATCACTACCTGGTAGTCTGGAGCCCATGATGAGGCCTCATGTTTTCTAGGAGTTCATTTGTTATAATGATGCTCTTTTGTGTCTTCAAAGTGTTCTTTTGAGAGGAGCTGGCAGAGGACATATTTTTATTGTTTAGAATTGCCAAATTTCTGGGATCAATAAGAATTTATGGTTCTTTGTTATTATGCATCATCATATACATATGTTTGTGGTATTCTGGAATAGAAATGGAGACAAAGTAAACAGCAAAGATAATTACTTAGACTGTGAACTATTGGGAAGCACTGGAGGAGAAAACAAGAAATTTCCATCAGAAATGAGGGAGTGGTTTTGTTTTATTATTTTGTGTCCTTTACAAAAGCATTGGTCCTCCCAGTACTCTCACAAAGACTACTGGAAATACTTTAGTGAGTTCACAGGGCCTTTTGGGAAGCACTTTGGCCAGGAAGGATCTCCAAGGAAGAGAAATTGGTCTGCAAATGGAGGCCTCACCCTAATTGTAGATGTGATAAAGGCACACCACACTGTATGATTAGAATGATGGCCACCAGATACTGTGGTCTTATAGAAAACAAACAAACAAACAAACAAACAAACAACCTCTCCATCCCAGAAATTCCATAGCATGAAACCCAGCCTCAGGTTACCCCTGACTTAAAAACCTCTTCCAGTGACTTGTGTTGACTGAAGCCAACAGGGCCTTGAGTGATGGGACTGTTTATATCTCCATGCCAGCAGTTCTTTTTCTCTAGGCCTGTCTGTTGGCCCCACTGCTCACCTTTCAGTTTTTCAAGCACATCAAGCTCTTCTCTGATTCCAAGCCTATACACACAGTTCTCTCTGCCTGGGAGATCCTTACCACTTTCCTTTCCAGGGAAAATTCTAGGACCTTTTATTGCCAGAGTATTTGTTTCTGTCTGACAACCCTAAGTAAATACCCACTGTTATTCTTAGACCTTTGTTTCTATTTCTTCACAACATATAACACAGTTTGTAATTGTTTTACTTAGAGACTTGTTTACTTTGAGGAATGATGATGTGTGTGCACTTGGGTGTTTTTTTCTTCTAATAGAAAATGTAAACTTTCTGAGAGTAAGAACCTTGATGATCTTGTTCACTACAGTATCTCTGGGCTTCTAGTGTTAAGCTGGATGTAGACATAATCACTGAATGAAATGAGCCACTAGGATTATTCCTAGATGCTCTAGTTTGGAGGTGGCTGCACAATCTTTATATTAGTCAATTTTCCATTGCTACAACGTAATACCTGATGCTGAGTAATATATGAAGAAAAGAGATTTATTTAGCTCCCAGTTTTTGAGGTTCAAGGTTGTAGCCTCAGGATAAGCTCTACTCTGGTGAGCTTTTGATATGGCAGAGGGCATTGTGGTAGGAATGCATGTAAGACAGTGGAGAAGCTGGTCTTCTATTTAAGAAACAACCCCCTTAAAGGAGCTTATGAGAAATCCATGAAAACCATATGCATCTCTTCCACAGGCAGTGCCCTCAATGACCTAACCACCTCCTATTAGGTCTCATCTCTTAAAGATTCTTACTACCTCTCATATCATTGCACTTGGAAACGAATCAAACTTCCAACGTGGAGAAAACTGCATCTAAACCATGACAGTTTCCAAATTAGAGCATAGACTGGGAGTCAAGATGTTCTGATCCATGTTACATCTTTAGGTTAGACACTGAGTTCCTGGGTTTGGAACTCTCCGTCAGTACTTGGTTTACAAGTGTAGGTCTCTGCCCATCTTCCTCAGTCTCTTTTTTTGCTTCCCACATTCTAGCCTGGGCAATGACAAAGGAACTCTGTAGCCAGTCATTTTCATATCCTATCTTAATTAAATGTTTTTCTCTGTGCTTTTACTAGCTAGGTTTTTTTTTATGTGTGTATGCACTTGTATATATTCTGGATCATCTCTCTTTTAGTTAACCTCATGGAGAGTAGGGACCTTTGCTTTCTTGCCTTCCACTTTAGCCATGGCATTTGTTATAGTGTTGAGCAAAAATAGTGAGGAGTTCATAAATGTTAAGTGGCTGCCTTTTATCTAGCCATGACTATTTTGGTTCTGACATGGAGATGTTTCAGTTGACATCTCTGTATTAATTCCTCAAACGTACTGTTCTCTTGAAGTGTAGAGACCTGGAAATATGAGTATCTTTGGACCCTCTCCCTATTGGATGTCCCTTAGGCATTTGTAGGTTACCTTTCTTTTTAAAGTCTCTCTCTCTCTCTCTCTCTCTCTCTCTCTCTCTCTCTCTCTCTCTCTCTCTCTCTCTCTCTGTGTGTGTGTGTGTGTGTGTGTGTGTGTGTGTGTGTGTATGAGTTTATGTGTACCACATGCATGCAGAAGCCTGTAGAAGCCAGAAGAGGGCATATGGTCCCCTAGAACTGTACTTATAGGGTGTTGTAAAGCTGACTTGTGGGTGCTGGGAACTGAACCCAGGTCTTCTACAAAAGCAGTAAGTGCTCTTGACTGCTCAGCCATCTCTACAACCCCTTGACTTCATTTTTTCTCCAGTTAAATTGCACCTGAGGACTATATTCTAGTAAAGGTCACCTTATGTATTCTAGGACCAGGCGAGGGATCTGCCTTGTTTCTTTTCTCCATCTAATCCCTGTGTCTCCCACCAATCTTTGAAATTGCATTTCTTCCTTTCTAGAAAGGCTCCCTAATCTCTATTTGTTGCTGTTAAGTTTTCCAACCTTGTCCTGAAGTTTTGAGAACTGAGTAAGTCATCTTCCATTTAAAAGTTTCATCCTGCAAAGTTTTTCCCAAATGACCCTCTTCAAATTTGAATAGGTCACTCCTCTCTTTAAAGCCTGTTGTCTCTTGGACAAATCCTAGCCTCTCAGTGTATTATGTGAATTTGGTCACAGTCTGTTCCTTGCTTATCACTTTATTTCCAACTTGTTAGCATAAAATTTTCTAGAAGCCATCATTTATTGAGTACTTAATGTGGGCTAATAGGTGTGCTGAAATGTTTTAAATTTACTTTATACTGGGAGGTCTCTATTGTTCCTTATTTACTTTCCTTCCTCCACAGTCCTGCCAAGTACAATAGGTGTTTGCTGAATAATTTAATGAATGATTCCATTTCCCTATCAATGTCAAGTCTAAATCTTGCGGATTATTAGATAAATAATTGACATCATGGAAGAACCATCTGTCTCTAGCTTGCTGACAATAGGAAAAGCTAGGCCTAGCCCTCAGCAGAAAAGCCACCTCCTTGTATCTCTTCTCACATCCACACTTTGGTCTCTAAGGTTCTTTCTGTACTCTGACATTCTGAAAACTCTTACATTATAGGTTTACAATGAACTTTTTAAATGTTCCCTTCTCTGGTTCATGCATAGAAATGATAGAACACAATAGAGACTTCCTTCACTTTTGTGGCCCTAGTACTCTGGCATAGACACCTACTTGGTATGTACCTAGAACCTGAGGGCCTATATCTGTTGTGTTGTCCAAGTATCTTTTCTTCTTCCCAAGAAAACCTTGGGTTCAGCTAATAAACCCCACCCTGCACTATGGTTGGTCATAGAATCAGCTGGAGGCATCCCTGAGAATTTGTCTCAGTATATATGTGATAGCATGTGGGGACAGGTCAAGAAGTCATAGGTAATAATTCTCTTTTAAAAATAATTTTTTGTATTAGTTTATTTTACATGCATGAGTATTTTGCCCACATGTATATGTATGCACTATATGTGTGTTTGGTGCCCCAGGAAGTCAGAAAAAGGTATCCAATCCCCTGGAACTGTAGTTACAGGTGATTGTTAGCCACCATGTGAGTTCTGGGAACTGAACCTGGGTCCTTTGCAAGAACACTCAGTGCTCTTAACTGCTGAGCCATCTTCCCAGTCCTATGGTTCTCTATCTTTTTTTTCTTCAAGTGGTGGACATTTCTCTTTTGCCCTATGGAAATCACCAATTCTGCCTCTACACTGTACCTGTTTCTCTGTGACCCTTTATTCTCTGAGAGATTCACCTATAAGACCTACTGATTGTTATCAGAGAGAGTACAGAGGGCCATTCTCAGAGGGAAGGCAAATATCAGCAGGAAGCAGGGCCAGGTCTAGGCTTAGCAGGCATAAGGTTTCATGTACTTGGGAACATAGGCAGGGTGAACCTTTCCAGAGTAGTCTCCCAAGCACAGGTGGCAGCAGCAGTAAGAGCTCCATACCAGGGAACATACAGCTTATCTCTCCTGGCCACCTGTCTGAGCCTTGTGCTAGCCAGCC